AAGATTCTTATGATTCAATAATGAGTAATTGTTATCATGACTAATTGCGACTGTCACAATTGTAAAGGTAGAAGTTTTGTAACAAAAACAGAGGAGTGGTTAATCTTACAGTCCAGAAACAGAAGACTCTAGGACCATCAAGGGAGAAGAGCACAAGCAGAATGCAGGACCTTATCCAGAGAAGAAGAGATACCAGAGATGGAGGCAGAGATGGGGATATGGAGACAGGGAGCAGCTGAGGGATCTAGATTCATGGGAAGAGAGGGATTGAGAGCTGGAAGCCATGAGGCACACTTGCAGAATGTGCCCTTTTGTGGTGTAAATTATTCTATATGCCTGAGTGTTTTTAAACAACAACAACAACAAAACCTAAAGTGAGTAGAGAGAAACACTGGTAACTGAAGGTACTTGGAGGGGATTCTAATCATTGTAAAGAAACAAAGTGTATGATTTGTTGAAGGTAAAACTGATGATCTGCCCAGTAAACTTTTACTCAATCCACAATAAAAACCTTTAAAAAAAAAACACAAGAAAGATTTACAGCCTCAGGAACCCTCTGTAGGGTCACTATAAATCAGAATTGACTGGACAGCACTTAACAACACCAACAGTGTACATCCAGAGATAAAGCCAGAGACATTTCCGAGCTTTTAATCCATAATATTGAAGACACTCCTGTCAAAAAATTTGCACAAAGATCATCTCTCACAAACAAAATACTGGAAATATCACTTTACATCTCATTTTTCAAACTATCTAAACTATTTTCAGAAGAAGTTGATTTTTGACTGACTTGGTTTAAAAATAATGTGGTGGTAGGTAGGTATGAGGATTCTTATTCATTCAGCATTCAACAGGTATTTTGCTGAGCCTCTATTTTATGTTTAATGGCAATGCTCTAGGTCATGAATTCTCAAATATTAGAGTGTGCATCAACTAAGAGATCTTGTTAAAATGAAGACAGGAATCAACAGATCTTGGGGAAGGGATGGGATTCTGCATTTCTGAGAAATACCCACCTAATGGTCATGCCTTTAATCCACGGGCCACATTTGAGCACTGGAGATAAATTGGTGGACAATTTAGACATAGGTCCCTTTTTCATTATGATCAAGAGGTCTTCATTTGCTATTGTTTATCCTGCTTTTTGAGTCTCAATTTCCTCATTTGTAAACAGGACAACAGCTAGCGAGAATTATTACATAAATGTTAATATCAAACAATTTTAAGTTTGCATGTGCCTACCGTGTAGTATAAGGAGCTCTGGTAGTGTAGTGGTTACAAATCAGGCTGCGAACCTAATGGTCAGCAGTTCGAAACTACCAGCTGTTCCACGGGAGAAAGATGAGGCTTTCTGCTCCCGTAAAGATTTACAGCCTTGGAAACCCTGTGCAGGGTTGCTATGAGTCAGAACTGACTCCATGGCACATAACAACAACAACAACCGTGTAGTATACAGTTAATAAATATTATTGTGTTGTTGTTATTAGAATACAGATCTACTTTATCATATGAATTAAAACATTTGTCCTGGCAATAATAGCACTGCTTTTTTCAGGGACACCTGGATTTCAGTCTTCTCTTATTTGATCAGTTTCCTGACCTTTTCCATTTCACTTAAATTCTTGTTTCATTCTTTAACCTGATTTGTCAGATCAGAAGTCTCTTCTGTGAGAAACAGGGAAAAAACAAAATTAGTATAAAGACACCAATCCCTGCTGAGACATGACCAGGTGGCCCTTGATAATTTGACACAAGGCTGCCTCTAGCCTATACAGAATTTCTGTTTGAATTAGAAAAAAAATAAAAGCCTCACTTCTTCAATATGTTGTTTTGCCATCTTCTAGAAAATTGTATACACCTATTCATAAGATATGAAGTTTTCTGCTCCCATAAAGATTGAGAGCCTCAGAAATTTGTGCAGGGTTGGAACTGACTTGGCAGCACATAACAGCAACAACAATTAGTAAGGGCAGTGCCTCAAATGGTATTGTGCTTTGACAACCTGAGCAACTGTGCACGGTGGTCCTGCTTATCAGAGCCATGAGAGACACAGCCAGTTGCATCCCAACACTTCCAGGGGGAGTTCATATCTATGAATATCACAATTTGTCTTCAACTTCCATGGTGCAACCACTGCTCCACTCTGGGATGGGAGCTTAAAGTAAAAACTAGGTCATTTCCTGCCAGTACCCAAGGCATGAGTCCAGATATGTCAGAGAGTAAGGAAGGACTCAGGGAAGACCTTAGCTCAAATAGCTCATGGCTTGTGGCTAGTTCCTCATGCATACAAGCCTTTGATAGAGTGAGGTACTCTGGAGTCACAAAACCTCTTACACCTGATATTGCCAGCTCTGCCTTTTCATGAGGAAGTCTCTGGTACTTAGGAATTCCCCTGCAGCCAGTAGCCCATGTAGGTGGTGAAATGGGCTCATCATGTTCCTCTGGTTCCAAGTTTCTATGCAACTATTTCACTCACAGGGCTGTGATGTGATGTGACTCAATTTTTACAAAAACTCCTTAGATGTCAATCAGCATGTGATAGGCCCTCTCCAGAAAAGGAGTTGCCAAAGAAAGTTGATGCTAGTGGTTTTCAACCCTAACGGAAACTTAGAATCACTTGGAGAACTTTCATAAAAGACCTCTACCCCCACCCCACCCCCCGACCAAATAAATGCACACTACTGACGTGGGTTAACACACTGGACTGCAAGGTCGGTTTGAACCACATGGTCAGAGGTTCAAGCTCACCAGCTGCTCCTTGGAAACCTATAAAAGGTAGCTATGGGTCAGAACCAACACAATGGCACTTAACAACAACAACTGAACTAGAAAATCTGGGGTGGAGTCCAGCACTTGTGCTTAACAAGTCTTTCTTGTGCTTCTGAAGCAGCTTACGTTTTATAACTTCTGTTCTAGCATCTCTCACATGTCTGTCTAGTCAGTGACCTGATCATGCCCTATAGCATATGCCAACAGAAAAAGCAAGAAATTTCCCTCCAGGGTGTCTCAGGGTTTTGATGCACATCACTGTTGGTAGTCATATATGTTGGCAAACTCTTGGAAAGGCTGTTTGATAGAACAAGTAGTCCTTGATTTAGGATGTTTTTATGCCAAATCACACACTTACAAAAGGAATTACCCTTTTGTAAAACACCAAAATTTGGTATTGTACATTTTATTAGTAGTAATATATACTACAGGTTATTGTTGTTGTTGTTAAGTGCCAATTCCTACTCACAGCAACCTTGTATAGACTTTCTGAGGCTTTCAATCTTTGCAGGAGCAGTGAGCCTCATCTTTCTCCCATTAAGTAGCTGGTGGGCTCGAACCATGGGCCTTGTAGTTCACATTCCCCTGTTTATCCTAGTTCACAGAAAAGTTCTATTATATTTTACTTGCAATTTTTCACAAGCTTTTTGAATCTTCTTTATATGTTTCCAATCCTTAAAGGCAAGTAAAGATGGGTTTATGATATTAAAAGACAATAATTGAAAAAAATAATTTTAATATTCAACTTATACCACAACCAACTTTTGGTGAAGTCATCACAACAGAACCCCATTTCAGTCAGGGAACTACCAGTGTATCAAATATTTTAAATGTATTCCTTTAACCCAGTATTTTTGTTACCAGGAATCTATCCTATTAATTTTTTTCATGTGCACGAATATATGGACAGGGATGTATAATGTAGAATTACTTATAATTGTGAAAAATAGATACAAAATTAATAAGTTCTGATAAAATAAATGATAATCATCCTCATTATAAAGTGCTATCTTGCCATTAAAAGCATGTGGTAGGTCTCCATGTGTAAGCATGAAAAGAACCACAGAGGAAGGCGGCATAGCTTAGTAATTGAGTATATCCTGGAGCCATGCCCACTGGGCTTGAATACCTATTCTGCCACTTACTATGAATTTGGAAAAATTACTAAACTTTATGTGGCTCAGTATGTATTGTAAATCCCCAGAACTAAGCAGTGAATAGTTATGTGTAGAACAGTGCATGGCATGTAGAACTGGAAAAGACACTGATAAATGAAAAAGTTAAAAGTACATGTTTGTTGTTGTTGAAGACTAATGGATACTTATGAAATTCTTAAGAATTTATTAATTCCTTTAGAGAGTGAAGCTGAGGCTAAAGGTAGAAAGAGAGTCTTATTTTTAAAAATAATTTAATAAAAATAACATCTGTGGTTAAAAAAATAATTCTAAAACAAGCATTAAAAATTGAAAAGTTAAAACCTGCCTTTACAGCTCTGAGGCACTCTGAAGCCAGGCTCTCCCACGATGCCTTGCTCTGGAGTTGGCGCCACGCCCAGCTCAGAGTACAGGTGTCCCTCACTTATCAAAAATGTGTTCTACATCACTTCACTTTTATGAAACATTTACAACAGTGCCTGTTTCGCTAACTGAAAGAAATCCAAAGAGGATTTTTGCTTTTATGAAAAAAGGCAAAAAGTGAAACTAGCATTCAGTGTTTGTATTGCAATGAGCCATTAGAGGCAATACACACTCCAAGCATCTTAGCATTAAACTGCCATAGCTGTGAACTGTGTCTGTGAACACTATGTGTTAGTGTTATTTTAGGTTTTATGTGTTATTTCTTATGATTTGGTGAGTTATTTGGGGGGTCTGGGAACACGCAAAATGTTTTCCCATACAGATTAATGGTGATATCTTCTTTGCTTTACTCCATTTCAGCTTATAAAAGGGTTCATAGGAATGTACCTTGGAGACTTTTCTTTTATCTCCTGAGTGTATCCCAGTACTGGTGCTCCCCTAGGCATGCTTGAGCTTGACGATTTCATTACCAAAAGCCTGGCCTCTGCTGACAGGTATCCAACAATATCTGAGACTTCCCATTCTTCTGCTTCTAGATAGCAAAGGGTGTTGAGGGAGTTGAGTGTCTGAGTGGCCTGACTTCTAGCCTGGCTCAATACCTACCACAAAGCAGACCTTCCTAGGCTTGAAGGGGGCAACTCGAAGATTGAACTACAGTCTGTGCCTATCTTTCTCCGGAGAAGCGTTTCTCGCCTTGGTCACCTCTGTGGCACTGTACGATAAGCACTGGACTGCTAACTGCAAGACAGGCAGTTCAAACCCACAAATTGCTCCTCAGAAACCCTATACAGAGTTGCTATGAATCAGAAATGACTTAAAAGCACTAAACAATACAGCTTCAACAGATTCCTGCAACCGAATTGCCAGCTTCTTCCTGGGAAAGGGGGAACCCAAAGGCATAGTGAAATCCCTTTCAGAAACATGTCTGTTCTAGAATGAAGATGATGCTTCTGACAAAATAGAGTGGTTTCTGAGGTTTGCTTAGTAGTGAAAAGCAAAAGCAACTTGCAGGGCATTTAATTATTTATTTGGCCCTTCTAGCCAAATTTTTCCACTCTGTGATATATTGTTAATCATAGCCCCTATGCCTGTGATTATGGTTTCATTTTGAACTGAGTTGTTAAGGAGTAAATGTTAAAGTGGGGCTAAGTAATAAGTACTACAGTGAAACTAAGGATTAAAGATGTCCCAGTGTAGACCTCTGGTTTGGGGGCAGAGGGCATAAGGAGGAAGCAGAGACAGACAGTGAAAAGTCTTCTGCCAAACCCCCCCCAAAAAAGCAGAGAAAGAATGGTCTGCAGAAAAACCACAGAGCTTTGGATATTGTTTAAGGTGCCAGTTTCCCACACTCAACTGAGAAGAAATCTGCCTGTGGAAGCTAAATACAGTGATGTCTGAATGATCCCGCAGCTGCAGCCCGCAGCCAGAAGTCCTCAGGCCAGAGGGTGGGGCCACAGCTAAGCAGAGGCAGTGAGCCAGGCTAGAAGTCGCGGAGCTGCGCATCTGGAGGGAGGGGTGTGACCAGTTTTTCATTTTTCACTTTTCATTTTTCACATTTCTCTTCTCTTCACCCTGATTGGGCCCTCACTGCACAGCCTAGATGCCTTCAGGTGGGTGGGAGCACAGGCCCAAAAAAAGTCCAGGATTGCACCCACAAATTTCCAACAGCACAGACAGGAAACCCGCAGTCTGCTTCATTTTGACCCTGGGAACCAGCCCCAAATTTCACCTAGGAAGGACCCTTTAGCACTGCCTATACAGCAAAGGCCAGTGGTCAGTGTCAACCACAATATTATTTTTGCTTTTGATTGGTGGTTTCTGTCTCTACTTTTATATTGTTTCTGGGTTTGGTCCTTGTGGCTTCACTCTTCTCTCAGGGTTTGGAGCTTTCTCCCCCTACCTTACCCAAGAAGAGACAGCAACTGTGCCCAAACAGCCAAGCTACATGCATTCCCTGTAATACCCCACCATCTGGACAAGAGCCAAAACCGGCTGCTAGGCATTACACGTGAAAAGGGAAGCCTATCTCCAGATCATATCCACCAGGAGACACTCAGCAAGGTTAACAACAAAGCAACATACATCCCTTTAAGCATTAAACAGTCACGTAACTGCTAAAAATGTCCAAGAAAACAAAATGAAACATCAAAACACATGTCCAAACACAGAAAAAAGTAACTGAGACAAATGAGCTGGAAGCAGACACAGACTTTCCAGTAGAAGAGCAGGCTCTGGATCTGCCTGAGAAGGAATTCAGAAGAATAATATGGAAACAAATTCTAATGCTAAAAAATGGGTGGAGGAAAATAAGGAAGAAGTCAGGAAAGTGCTACAGGAGCAATCAAACAAGATAGATATGACATTGGAAAGAATCCAAAACCTTTAAAAAGAGGTCTAAATGATTAATAATAAAATATCAGAAATGAACAATACACTGAAAGCGCAAAGGAGCAGAATGGAAGAGATGGAAGCCAGAACCAGCGAGCTGTAAGACAAAATTCTCAATACTGCTAAGATAGAAGAGCAACTGAAAAAAAGGATAAAAAAATCTGAAGAGAGTCTAAGATTCATGCTGGATAACACAAAGAAGAATAATTTAATAATTATTGGCATTCCAGAACAGGAAGAATCACAGAAATCCACAGAAGAGATAGTTGAAGAGCTTCAGAAAGAAAATTCCCATAACATCTTGAAGGTTGAGAAGGTAAACTTTCAAGAAGCCGAACGTACTCCAGGAAGGATAGACCCCAAAAGAAAATCACCAAGATATATCATAATCAAGCTCTCCAAAATCAAAGACGAGGAGAAAATCCTAAAAGCAGCCAGGGAAAAGAAAAGTGTTACCTACAAAGGCAAGCAAATTAAATTAAGCTGTGACTTTTCAGTAGAAACCATGCAGGCAAGAAGGCAATGGTGAGACATATATAAAACCCTAAAGAAAAAAAATGCAAACCAAGAATCGTATATCCAGTAAAACTGTCAATCAAACACGATGGTGCAATCAAAACATTCCAGGATAAACAGAAGCTAAGAGATTTTGTTAAAGCCAATCCAGTGCTTCTTTGGAATGAAAACCAGTAAAAACAGACAACAACCAGATATTGACCTACATAGCAACACCACCTGGAACTCGGTTGATGGATAGCAGAGT